CATCATCATGGTGGTCCAGCTAGGATAGCCATGGTTGGAGGACGGCGTGTCGCTATTGATGAGAGTTAGCCTTAGGGGGAGTCACAGCAGCAGGCACAGCAGACAAAGCAGACTAAGGAGGGAGTGTAGTCAGAGGAGACAGAGCAGGCACCTCAGCCACAATTACGCCGCTCTGGTCGTACTCGTACCCAGGTGACACCGAGGGCAGAGACACAGCGGAGGGGTTCTCGTCCGCCTCCTAGACCATAGGGTCCGCCTCTAGTGACTCATCTGGATTTGAGGGCCACCACGGCCAAGCAGGTTCAGCAGCTCAGATTTGTACAGTTTGAGGAGTGGTTCCCACTGAGGAGGGATGAGCGTGCTTCAGAGGGCTTCTATACACCACTGCAGGAAGATTTCTATAATGCATATCTTAACAGTGGGGCTGCATTCAGATCATAGAGGGTGTGTTCCATTGAGGCCATCATAGCAGCAGCAGGAGAGCATATTCGTCCTTACCTATCTTACTTGCCAGGGCTGACAGACTTACTCGGACGGACATGCATATATGTACCATCTTGGGTCCGTGAGTTCTATGCTACACTTTGGATTGACCCGCAGCACAGATTCATTCACTTTGCATTCAGAAGCAGAGATTACATGCTGATGAGCTTCAGGGTCAGGGAGATACTCAGACTTCAGGAGCAGCCTGTTTGGCTACATGAGGTTTGCTATGGTCAGACAGCGCCTCCCAGACATCCTCATGGTGGTATGGTGCCTCCTACAGATTTGGTCCACCATTGCTTCACAGAGCCATTCAGCGCAGGGTCGAGCAGGACACCCAGTGACCTCACTCCTATAGCTATAGTGCTTGATGCTATCATGAGGAGGATCTTGCTTCCGAGGATGGTATATCGTGAGGGGTTGACTCGCATTCAGTTATGGCTACTGAATGCCCTGATGCAGCAGACTGTCTTTGATATTTGGGATCTCTTACTATTTGAGATGGAGGATACTATTGTAGAGGGGTTCAGAGGTCACCGACAGTTGCCCTATGCTCACTGGATTACATTCTTGATTCACAGAGCAGTTACAGTGAGGCCACCTAAGATGCTAGCAGAGTACAGTGGTGCTACTACAGAGTTCCTTGCATATAACATGACTCAGATGCTCCGCCATAGTGCAGTGAGGACACCTAGCCAGCCACGCCGTCGTCCAGAGGTGCCAGAGACTGCAGCCCAGCAGGATGAGACTATTAGGGGCATTGCAGCTATAGAGGAGGAGCAGCTTGATGCTCAGTACGAGGGGATGGTCGAGAGCGACCCCAATGACAGTTCTGATGATGACTACCAGGATATCCCTCAGATGCCTCCACGACAACATGACCATGAGGCTGGTAGCTCTAGTTCAGCTCCACCTACACCACAGACAGACCCCGCTCTACTTGCTATACTTGAGCGGATGAGGCAGGATCAGGCTCGCCAGGCCCAGGAGACCGCTGCTACATTTGCACAGTTCTAGGCCAGACAGGATGAGTTTCAGCGACAACGGCAGGCAATCCAGCAGCAGCAGTAGGCTATACAGCAGCAGCAGTAGGCCATGCATCAGCAGCAGCCCCTCATGCAGCAGCAGTTACTCGGATTTATGCAGCATGTAGTTACTGCTATTGGGGCTCTACCACCACAGCCTTCACCCCAGATCGGCCAGTCTGCCACCACTTCTATGACTCCAGCTTTACAGCCCAGTGGGCTTCAGAGTCAGGGACAGCCAGTGACATAGTTTCCTTCACCTACAGAGCAGGTGTCCCAGTGGTTTGCCTCGCCAGTGCTAGCCCCGTAGTTCACACCTCTACATATGGGCTTCACATTGGCTCAGACTTCCTCGCTGCTTGTGCCAGATACTACAATCTTTAGGAGCCTTGGTGCTACCTTTAGTGAGTTGACAGGGCAGCCTACTCTGCCATATCTACATGTCCCAGGCTCTTCCACAGTTGCACCTATTACTGGGACTACAGAGACGCTCCCTTCATCAGTTGCATCATCAGAGCCGCCTGCTACAGTCATACCTGCAGAGTCACAGGCCACACCAGTCCCTAGTCCGACCTAGACCGCTTCAGCATCGCTTCCAGCTACATAGGGTCATATAGCTCAGAGCTCAGGGTCAGATGATGATGGCACACAGTTCCAGCTCGCTCCTCGCACCTCAGCGCTCGACTCGTCCGCTGCAGCCCCACCGACTGACCCTTAGGTTTTGGTGTTTGACGCCAAAGGGGGAGAGGGATCGAGTATGTTAGACTTAGAGGGAGCGACTTATCTAGGGGGAGTTTAGCTTATCTATTATATTTGGTTTTTTATGTGTGATACACTATTATGCATTCATGTGTTTACTTTCATGCATCGAACTCTATCTATGTGATAGTGATATCTACATGATCATGATATTTATGTGATATATGACATGTGTGCTCTCTACTTTGAATTATTTATATGTCATGTCACTTGGTTATGCTCATTTGTTTTGCTTCCGCGTTTTACTCCGATACAAATGAGCTTTATTTCGTGTACTCATATTTGTTTCATATCTATTGAGTACATTATGTTGGCTTGGGTCATATAAGATTGCATAACTCTTTTGTTCTTATTGTCAAAAGCTTATATGAACCAAGCATGTTGAAAACCTCATCTCTTTCACATACTCGAGGTGGTATTGTCATCAATCACCAAAAAGGGGGAGATTGAAAGCATCTAGGCCCCTAGTTGGGTTTCTATGATTAATGACAATACGAGATTACTGTGACTAACGTGTGTTTTGCAGATGCAATTAAGTTAGGTCATGGTAATGGCAATTGATTGGGCAATCATGGTTGTCATGCCCCTATGATGGAAAACGTTTCGGTTTTCAAAGGATGGACGATAAGGTTAAGGATGGACTAGTTCTAAGTGTCGTTTGATGTTGAAGAGACACTTAGAGTAGTTTATGACTTTGTTTTTCCTTTGGTCGTACTATTAAGAGGGGTATGAACGGGTAGCTTGACCTAGGTGAGTCTAGTGGATTAGGTGTGGTGCACACTTGTCAAATCTAGCACTAGGTAGCTCCTAAAAAGCCCTTAGATCAATTGGAGCAAACTTCATTCACATATGATTGTGAGTTGGAACTGAATGAAGGGTCAAATGCTGACCGGACGCTGGTTCCGGTGTGACCGGACGCTGGCGCAGAGTCCGGTCAGTTCATTTGATCAAGGTGAAGTCGTCTGGTACAACCGGACGCTGAGAGGTGAGCGACCGGACGCTGAGTGCCAGCGTCTGGTCGACTCTAGTAAGGTTCTAGAGAGCGGTTTTCACGACCTGACACGTCCGGTCACCACTTAACTGCTCGGTTTCAGGTTGTACTGACCGGAGCGTCCGATCAACTTGATCGGAGCGTCCGGTCACCCCGCAGAGGCACATAACGGTTCGTTTTGAATGATGGGTTATAAATACTTCCTCTATTCACTTAAGGGATCACTTTTGCTCATTCCAACAGCTGAGAAACACCCTTGAGAGTGCCAAGAAGAGCAAGGTCCTAGTGAGGTGATTGAGATTTGAGAATCCAAGAGAGAGACCTTATTAGTGAAAGCAAGAGTAGCAAAGTGTGCATCCACCTTTCTCATTAGGCTTGTCGTGGTCAAGTGAGAGTTCGTGCTTGTTACTCTTGGTGATCACCATCACCTATACGGCTTGGTGGTGATTGAGAGATTGGTGATCATCCAGCGGAGCTTGTGGATGACCCAACTCAAGTTGTGAGCGGTTGTGGGTGATTCACCGCGACGGAGTGTCAAAGAATCAACCCGTAGAGAGCACTTGATCTTTGCGCGGATCAAGGGGGAGCTACACCCTTGCGCGGGTGCTCCAACGAGGACTAGTGGAGAGTGACGACTCTCCGATACCTCGGCAAAACATCGCCGCGTTCCTCCTTTTCTCTTTACTTTGAGCAATTCAATTTTTGTCTTTATATTCATAGAATTGTCATGCTAGAGTAGGATTGAAACTTAGGTTGCAAGATTTTTTGTGCGGTAGAACATTAGAAACACTTTATAGGCACAAAGGGTGAAGTGGGCTAACCGTAGGGTTTAATTCTCGCAAAGAAATTTAGAATTAATCCAATTCACCCTCCCTCTTAGGCATCTTATCCTTTCAGCCCCCATAGACGACTCCCACTGCCAAGGCGTCAGCACTTCAGCAGCCATGGCCCGACACTCAACCTCGAGATGCCCGGCGCCACGCCGCCTTGACGACCAAGCCTACCCCGGCCCCACCCACGCTAAGAAGTCTTCTTCCTCCATGGAAGATAAGAATAGGTAGTCCACAAACCAAACAAACAGTGTTTTAGTTCCCCCTAACAAATAGCGCGACAACAAATAGCGTTTTTAGTTCCCATAAACAGATAGCACGACAGCTGAGTGCATTACCATTCCCGCACCCACTGCTAAACCAAACATGACCTAAGATGAATCCAGTTGCAACTCCATTACTACAAGAGTTCTAAAATATATGGTAAAACGTACCAAACATCTGTATGACAGCAGGCAGAACTTAAAAGACAGAACATTAAGGGACTAAAGTGAACAGTTTTACATAAAAAAATGGGTTGTGATACCATCATATAAAACAATGCATATTATTACAACAATTAAATAAAATATCCTAAATCATGGCGAGTAGCTCCCTATTCTTAAATTGTATGCACAATTCCACCCCAAGGGCAGTGTCCTCATTTATTTGACACAGAAATTTGGAATACTACAACCTTCCTCCCCCTACCACCCTGTTGCACTAAGGGCAAATGCAGGGAGATAAACATACATACATACATACATACATACATACATACATGCATAAATATTCCATCCGTGCATACATGAACTTAGATGGACCTTTGTGTGGTCACGGCAGCAGCAGCAAGAGTAAGGTTGCTTAAGTGCAGATGATTCTCTGTGTTCCTTGACTGTATTGTGATGCTGTTATCAAGTTTGATGACCTCCTTTACAAGTTATCATCATCAAATATTGTCGAGAGCACAAGCCCACGGACGAATTTGCTCCTTTGAACCCTTTCCTTCTGATCCTTCTCTGATAATGATGGTTCAGCTCTGTAGATTCACCACAGCAATTTAATCAAGAATAAACACCAAAGAGAAATATAGTGAATGAGGGGGAAATTTGGTACACAAGACGAAACATTAAAACATCATCCTGAAATGTTCATTATATTGTTCAGCTCACAAGTCAAAGATGGCTATTTAGAACTAGCACTGTGAAACTAAGGCATTATGCATGACCAGATAAGCAAAATCGAGGTTTGTTCATTTCATAAATCTCTACAGAACATGTGGATGCAATCATGCATGTAGCTCATAACAATCCCTTAGAAGAGGATCTGCTACAATTTTCAAGCATAACCTTTTTTTCATTTGTTAGCACTAGTTGAAAACATGCGAAAGAAGTGCCAATAAAGCAAAATCGCATTTCAGGATTATGGGTATAATGATGGCTGTTAGGTAAAAAACAGAGCCATGAGGGCAAAAATGTCAATCATCAATGCATACAACCTTATGGCATCGGAAGTACAATATCTTCAACCTATTTCTTTGAACGGTGCCAAATAGACCTAAGAATCATGACAATCAGCATAAACCAGATCTTAGCATCACAGAGTGTATAGTGATCCACTGAGAAAGTTAGCAATATAGCCATGAAGGATAAATTACTAACATATTAAACAAACAATACCAAATAAGCTATTTGATATGATATTTTTAACATGCTTGGACGGCATAAATATGCACTGGTTTCTCAGTGAAGTACCACAATTAGAAGATTATATTATCCCATAAACACAAAAGAAAATGAGAACTGGACATAATGTGGAAAACTATGAGCTATCATACACTGACCAGATACAATGGTATCGTGGCAAAGAGGGAGCTGAGTGAGGCAGCAGAAAGAACAAGCTTGAGGTGACATACCTCTCTACAGTCTTTTCATCTGGGAATTTATTTAGCAAAAAGTTATTGTCAGATGAGTCGGAATGTAAATCTTTGGATGGTTCAGCCACAGGCAAACTACAAATTAAAGATGACAAAAATGGATCTGGTGCTGCAGCAGGAGGATTGGATACATAGGATGATCCACCGAGAAATGACTGCAAACTGCCATTTCTCAAGTCCTTTCTCAACAAAGATAACAAAGAATGGGACCCAGTAGATACTTTTCGGACTCTGCGCCTGCGCTGCATGTATTATTCATTAAGGAAAACAATGTGAATATTCTGTTCCAACATACCTATGTATCTTCAACTGTAGTATAATGTGAAAATGTAAAAATGCAAGTGATCAGCAACAACAGCATAGTAAAGGATATCTTGAAATAACTTCCATGCTGCATAGTCAAATGTCCTATCAAGTCCATTCCAACCCTTGTAGCACAGATGGGGCATACCTGAAAGGGCATTTCAGCAAATTCCATAAGTTTTTGTTGTCTAAATCTATTATATAGGATGATCTTAGTTGTAAAGCTGGTTAAATAGCTAACACTGCTTCTATCATGCCCTAAGAAATAAGAAAAGAAGTGACTAATCCATCTGTTACAAGTTTGCAGCAGTCTTCAGAATAGAGAGAAGATTTCAAGCCTAAAAAAGTATAGATTCATCAAATGGAAAAGAAATACTGTAAAGGATAAAGAGCTGGAAGACAGCAATGAGTCTGGCAGAAATGATAAGAGGCAAATGACAATGCACCAAAGTTTTCTTCAAGTCTCTACAAGCAGAGACAAACAATTGGTATGGCATCAAAAAAGAAACTCTAGATAGTACAGTACCCCGAATGAGCTAGAAAATATTGTCTTAACACAAGGGATGAAAATGACACCAATGTTTGGGCAATGTTGAAGAAATGTGTGAGATCTATGTCAATCACATTTTGCAGTGGTTCGTCCTAATTAGTTTTGTACTTCTGCAAGGACAAGCAAAGCCAGGGTAGTAAACACTACCCTACTAAAGCTTGGCAGAAAATGGTAAGAACCCAATGACTGAGCTATATATTCATATCTCCAAGATAGGTAAGGTGAGTATTTGCCCACTAAGGCTTGAACACAGATAGGCCAGAGGCACAAACAGCATCTAGATAAAAAAAAAAATGCACAAGGCCTTCCTGCTTCTAATTCCATTGGCCAGTTACCATTTAATATACTGACAAAACACTTGTACTAGCGATATAAAAATGACTGTTAAATAATGGTTCTACAAGGTGTGCAATATGTAATCCTACATATCTGAATCTAGTTTCCAAAAAGATATTTATATTCTATCCTTACTTGTACCCAAGTCCAGATGGATTAATCTGTTTTGTTGGTTCTTGTGGACAATAAATAACAAGCATTCGTTCATGAAAAACAAATCAATCACCAAATTAATTACCAAGTCAGAGTTTTACAACAGTCTTATTGGGACATTTCATGAAAGAAAATGGCCAGATTAAATGATTCGACGAAAGTGATATGAAATGGCATACAAGATAGAATGGTCATCAGCTGCAAAGAAGGTAGTACAATCCTTCAGCTCCAAACTAAAAGCCACAAGAAATCCTAGCACAAACCCAAAAATCATCCGTATCAGTACTTCAACTTCAACGTCAATGGCCCTGTTCGTTTCGCTGAAATTTGGCTTATGCTGATGCTTATGCTAATATGGGTGCTAACAGAAGATACCAACAAATGAAGCAGCTAATCTTAAACGCAAACAAGAATAACAGATTACCTACTAGTATTCCATTGGTTCATTTTCAAGCATAGTCATAATTAGCAAATTACAACAAGAAAGATTGTCAGGTAAAAGGATTGTATGGGAAACTTCCAGCCCAAGCAACAAATGTTACACCTAACCCAACCCAAAAGACAAAAGTTCAACTAACCCATCAAATAAAACTAAAACCCTCTCAGTGCAGCCCAAATCAAAAGTTCAAAACAGCCACTTGAAAGGCAAATATGCCTCTAACAGGACACCCATGAGCTCACACAGAAAGAACACACACAAGCACAAGTGGATTTGGTGGCTGGAATGACTTAGCCTTTTCTGTTTTTTTCTCTTCTACTAATATAGCCAACGTGAGCTACAAATCAGGCTGTGATAGCCTCCTAATTAATGCAGAAGATTACCCAACTAATCAGCCTATTACTCCATGCTGAAAATTAGCTAAAGTAAATGCTATGCACCTAGACACTAGCATGCACCAACACACAAAGGATTATTTCCAACACCACTTTCCCAACAAACACACAAAATCATTCCAAATATGATTCCTCTAATCCAGCACATAAACACACCTACCCCAACCCCATAAGCAACCACATCCCACAATTCCAACCAACAATGCTCTATTTGTTCCATTCCATGACAACCCCTCCAGAAACAAGACAATCCACAGAGTAAGAAATTATATTTTTTTTCTATATGTTGGTCCCAAATTACCTCAGGGGAAAAAAAAGGTGGAGGGGAGAAGAATCAGGCGTCATATTAGCATCCAAAGGTCTGATTTTCCACAGCAGACATGAAAGCTAAGAGATGGTTCGAACCACTTTAACCTGCAACCTCCATTTAACCATGACAATTGCGAATTGCAAAGGGGGGAAGAAGCATGCCTAGAAATGCGTAGTTGTACCGATGGCAGACATCATCACTTCATCAGATGATAAGAATTGGGCCAGGAACAAGTGAAAGCAACGTACGTACCCCGCTCTTAGCCTCAACGGCATGCTCGTCGTCGATGTGACAGCAGAGGCTGACGAAGTCGAAGTCCTCGTCGCAGAAGGGGCAGTTGTAGGGCTCCGCCCCGCCGCGCGGGTCCGTCACCTCGTCCCCGCCGGCGTCCGCGTCGTCGAACCCCATGTACAGATCTGCGCGCGGCACCAGCGCGCCGCGCATAGACACCGCCCATCAAAACCAGCCGCGTGAAAAAAAAAAATCGAATCAAAACGAACCAGAACCGGGAATGAAAACGATCGTGCCGGGCGTACGTACCGTAGCGCGCCTGCAGGCGCCTCGCGGCGGCGGCGGCGGCGGCGGCGGAAGAAGACGAGGACGACGAGCGGCCCCACACGTCGGCGGCGTCCATGGCTGCGGGGGACCGAAACCCTAGGCCGGCTCCCTCCTCCCTCTCCTTCCTTCCTCACTGCTTCTCCCGCTTTAGAGGGCGGTGTTGGTGATGGTTTTGTCCGTCGGTGGTCTGGTCCGGGCCTCCTTTTCCTCAGTGCTCCTGCGTCTCTCTCTCAACGGCCGTGCGTGTGCGTGTGCGCGTGTGTGGTGGACTGATGGTGTTGGCTTCAGGCCGGTGGGCGGTGGGAGTGATGAGCGAATGACGTGCCAACCAGGGTGAACCTTGTGCACGGTGAGTCGTAGGGCTGAGTGTGGGGCACGGCATAACTACCGCTAATGGGCCCGTTTGCTTCTGATTTAAACCCCTTTTTCGGCTGTGGCTGTGCGGCCAGCCCAAGCAGATTCTTCCTGTCAGAGACGCCATTTTCATCAGCTTTGTAGAACAACTCTTTATTTTGATTTTTTTATATAACAAAAATCTTATTGACAGTTTGATAAAAAAAAGCTCTTTAAAAATCAAAAGTCACTAAACACCGACGGACCTACATATCCTTCTTTCCTTTGTGACTTTTCTGAAGCCCACATGCTTTTTCAGCCCATGTTGTCTAAACTCTAGACGCCAGGTCATCGGTGTTCACAACGCATAAACACAAGTCTTCGCTCCTTCCGTCCTCCGCTCGCACCCTCTTCCCTGTTTGTCCCTGCCCTCAGCGTCTACGAATTGCCGACTCTGCAACCACCACCCCGCCGCTAGCCAGTGGCTAGGGGCAGCCCCATGCCCCACACATACTGACACAGAAGTCGTGCTTGGTGCTCCAACTGCTCAACTAGGGCTGCAAGGGGTTTAGTTCGAACCGCTTGGGAACACGGCCCGCTCCTCAAATTAGCGGGTGGATCGAATTGGATCGACTCTAAGTAGAAAAGGGGCAAAAGGGTCACTAACCCTATCGATCTGAAATGACCCTTGGGTCAACCCTCCACTTCATGTCACTCTTACTATCGCCTAGCCCCGATTGATTATAAAGTTAAATAAATGCTTGCATTGCTCCCTGAGTCTATGGAGCCAAGGGAAAATAAAAGGGGCGGTTCACCCGTGGGCCATTGGAGTAGGGAAATTAAAAGGTGCGGTTCGACCCTGATCGTAACACTGATTACAGCGGGGCAGCTAAAGGGTCGCCCCGACCCGCACCCTTTGTAGCCATATGCTCAACTGGTGCCTATGGCTTTGGCTCTGCCACTCTGTGTACGACCATTTTTTTTCCTTCCAAACTCCTTAATCTATAAGATTTACAGGATGTGTACTAAAAGTGGTTGATTGAGTATTTTGTTGTCAATCAAGATCTTCTCATTTTCATGAAAGAAAATTTTAGATGCTTTGCTAGTTGATTTGCCCTATCCCCAACTATACATGAGCATGCAGCCCACAGCCCGGTAGCCCAGCGCGAGGGCCGATTTTTTGGCCTAGCCCAACTCATTTAATACAATGACACTCAACAAGTTGACTTGACAGCTTATTTATGAAAAGAGATAGTTTCATAGACTTTGATCCCCTATCATATCAGCGTGTTTGGCTGGTAGATAAGAGCACTGTAGCTCAGCTGATTTTAGATGATTGAATAGTATTCTGTGAGAGATAATAAGCTGAAACAATCCAAGACCGTACCAGCCGAACGCGCTGATAAAAGCTGATATGGTAATCTTAATAATTGTGTCATGAAACTCTCCACTGAGATTAGCATGAGTAGATTTTGTTTTTCTTATCTCAGGCTTCGCTTGCAGCATATAACCATTAACCAGAAAGATCACTTGTAACAATTCGTTTGTGCTGACTGCTGCAGGCTCAGGCTTTGAGCTAACTTGCAGAATTCTTCGGTTTCCTTAAATCTGGCCATCTTAATTTGTTTTCACGGCGATCTCTCTTTCAGCCACTTTAACAGATCATCATACGCGAGCGAAAGAATAACAAACATTGGCACACAAGATTGTGTCCTTTCATAAGGTTACAACATATCATATATGCATAGACAGGTACAGTGTCCACCAGCAGCAAGGGTAGTTTAGCAGCAGGGACAACAAACAATAATAACTACAACATTGCAGTATCATCTGCGTTGATAGATTTTATTACTGCAAAATTGATCCCAGCAGCACTACCGGTAGTTACGGTAGACAGGAGTGTACATGCAGCTCTCTGCATATTTCACCAGGTCTCTGGGGGGAGGCAGACGTGTCGCCAAACCTGCAGAGGGAAGTTGATGATATCAGATCAGGCATGTATGAGACTTGGTGGTGAATGCCAAGATCAAGATGTGGAATGGTGTCTGCAAAGCAAAACAGAGGACGTGTGTACCAAGTTCATAAGCTTTTGCAGCCACGGCTGCAGCAATGTGCGCAGAGATCTTTCTAATGTTGGCGAAGGGTGGGAAGATCGATCCCTTGTCAAAGTTCTCCTGCGTGGCCTGAGCAGCTAGTGCTTCCGCTGTTTGAATGGATGAAACATGAGATTGGTCCGTAGTCTCATCAAGGTATGAAAAACGATTTTTTATGCCCAATGGTTTCCGTTTGGAGCTACTTACAGGCGGCAAGAAGCATGTCCTCGTGGACACGGATGGCTCCAGAAATAACAAGACCGAGGCCGAATCCAGGGAAAATGTAGGCATTGTTTGCCTGTTGTAAATAGCCCAGTTGAGTTAGCAATAAACAACTTATGTTTTGCGGGTGTTTACACCAGCAAGATTGCATTGCCTAGTAGGATTTAATATTAAAAACAAGTTCTACCTGCCCAGGTACAAAAATCTTCCCATCGTACTCCACAGGGTCAAATGGACTGCCACTGGCAAATATTGCACGACCCTGAACATAGAGTGCAAATAAAGAGATATGAGTTGCAAACTACAGAAGTACAGACCCCACAAGTTTCTTTCTAGAAATCAGCCATTCCTTTTTTTTGTCCAATTAGATCACATTTTAATAAACAGGAAACTGAGCACAGGTTCTAGTGATGGCTACATTCAAAATGGTAGCCAGACAGTGCAAAAAATGCCAAATGTTTTGACTCAAGTGGACCAATTTGCAGATCAAACTCTGCAAAAGATGATTAGACGGTTCACCTGAGTCCAGTTATATGCTTCTTCAGCAGTACATTCAGAATGTGAGGTTGGATTTGACAGTGAAAAGATGATAGGCCTCTGCATTTATAATTAGCAATATCAGAGGTTAGCTTTCCATCCTCACAATATACCACCAAACAATGTCAGAAAAAAGAAAAAAAAATTACCTCATTGAAGGAAGCCATGGCCTCAACAACTTCTTTTGTGAATGTTCTTCCAACTCCAGATGTCCCAATCAGAACTGTAGGTTTGATGGACTGGAGGATATGACGAAAGGTTAGTAAATTCTTTTCTTTGAAAACAGCACAAACAGGACAGCTTTAAGTGAAGGCAGCAGCTGCTAATGAACTGAAGTACAATATTAAATGCACATGAGCGTGACTACCTGAACAGCATCATACAAGGTTGTCAAGGGCTCATGCTCATGTGCCCAAGGTTTTTTGAATGACTGAAGGGAGTTTTTCCGAGAGTCAACAATCAAACCCTGTATACAAAATATCGTGTTAGGATGTCAGATAAACAGGTGAGCAAACATTGTACTAGCAACAGTGCATTTTCCTTTGGTTACACACCTTTGAGTCCACCAGCCAAACCTTCTTGCGGCACTCTTCAATTGGAGCCTTCGTCTATAAATCGATCCGACCAGTACATATTAGAGTAAGAACTAGGACAAAAGAAACCTACCACACATTCAGATACTAAAAGTATGTAGCTAGTTACCTGTTTTGAAATCTCAAGAGCAATGAGTTCTGCAATACCAGTTCCAGCCTGAAATCAAATACATTATCAGAATCTTATCGATCGGTCTACTTTCCTCGACAAGAATCTTACTAACGGTCACAATCCCATTTCAAAAGATACTAGTACATAGTATGCTTCGACAGTTGGGTGACAAAGAAAATAACAGTTTGCCAAGAGATGTTCTAACTAACCTCCCCAGCACCAAGGAATAAATAAGTGTGCTCTGCCAGGGTCCCACCAACCACATTGAGTGCTGCTAACACACCTGCAAGGACCACTGATGCTGTGCCCTGCAAACATTCATATTTCCAAATCGGTACCAATCACAAAAGGCAATAAACTGAAGGATAATGATCTCAATTAATTAAGGTTGCCCCCTGGTATCAGTAAAAATAAAAACACCATGGGTGGTTCCATTTACCTGGATATCATCATTGAAAACAAGATGGCTCTTCCTATATTTTGAAAGCAAATCAAAAGCATTATGGTTGGCGAAGTCCTCGAACTGTCCAAAGTTTACAGCGTTACATTTTGCGATAAAGAGTAAATTGATCCGGCATAGCAAAAGTACAATGTTGAGTCCAACTCACCTGAATGAGGACTTTCTCACCGTAGATTTGCTTAACAGCAGCCATGAACTCTTCAATAAGCTCATGATACTCCTGCCATTAAGGAAAATGCACAGATAAGATCTCAAGTGTCACATATTTTGCCAATTCCTAACTCCCAGCAATCTCGACACAACTACATACCTCGCCAGTTGCACGTTTTTGCCGGAGTCCAATGTAGAACTCATCATTAAGCAGTTTCTCATTATTTGTGCCAACATCAATTGTGATAGGCAAACACTGCAACGTAATTTAGAATTCACCAATTGAGATAACTTAGTTGTTTGTTGGTACCAAACATACAGGACCATTACAAGAGATGCAACCAAAAAGGGGACAGAAAAGATATGATAAAACACAGCTGATGGACGAACTCCTCCAAGAGCAGTGTATAGAGCAAGTTTGCCTACAGGAATTCCCATTCCCTATAGAAGGATTCAGTATAATATAAGCAAAGGCCCTCAAGTAATAAGCAACTAATGAGACAATCATACCTGAGAACCCAAATCTCCAAGTCCCAAGATTCGCTCACCATCAGTAACACAGATAACTTCAATGTT